ATTGGAGCAAAAGAATGGATAACAGGCACCGACCAAATCAGCAGAATACATTACATTAGCTCTCAAGGCTTGAAAATAATCCTCTTTTCTCTGAGACCACTTAGGCAATGGCCCTGCCTTCCAGAATCTGGGTGTTGGCCATACTGTCCGGATTCTGGGTGGAGACCTCTTGGCACTGGGCTTCAGCTCCACCTCCCAGGCCCACTGGAATGGCAATTCTGCTTCCTGGAATTTGGGTGGCCCCATTTTCCTAGTCCATGTGAGTGGTGACTCTGCACCCTTGGCCCCAGCAGGATCTGTTCTTCTGTCCCTTGGGCATAGCAGCCCCGCCCCCTCAGCTTTGGGCAGCAGGTCTGGCCCCATCCCACTGGCACTCGTGAAAGGAAGCCCCACACTCCGGTACCGAGCTGGTGAAGATTTGACTCTCTGAAACCTGGGAGGCTGTGGCCCCACCCTTTGACAGCCCAGAGGCTATGGCTCCACCCTTTGAGACCCCAGAGATCCTGGCCCTACCCTTTGAGACTGAGGCAGCTCTGCTTCCAGTGTTCCGTATCTCTTCAGCTTCTGCTTCCCGGTTCCTTGGCCTCCCAACCCTTCAGTCCTCACCACCTGCATCTGCCCTTCTGGGGTAAGTGTTCCAAAGCTCTGTAGCTCCACCAATAAATGCCTGGAGGCACCCTACTCCACCAGGAAGCCTCCTGCACAAAGACTCAGATCTCTCGCTCTGTGGGTTGGCTCCAGCACTGTCTCGCACTGGTCTCCTGGTTCTGCTGCTGCCATATGCCTGCTGCTGCCATTTCTCTGCTGCTGCTTCTCACCATCTACTCTATCTCCAGTGTAACAGCTCTCTTCACTTCCTCCTGAGTCCTCACGAGAATTGTCTTTGATGTCCATAATTCCACCAATAGTCTCTTAAAGGCAATCTAGGCTTTTACTAATAGGCCTTTTAAAACTCTTCTAGCCTCTACCCATTCATAGTTTAAAAATCACTTTCACATTTTATGTATCTGTTAGGGCAGCACCTCACTCGCCAGGTACCAAATTCTATCTTAGTTAGATTTTCAATAGCAGATTTTTTAAAAGTAAATCACCAGGTCTTTCTTTCAAGGCACCTCTGAGTGGACTCTAACCTCTAACCTTTCAGTTCACAACTGAGTGCTTAAGTTTGAGCCACTCAGGGACTCCAGGGATAGTGCTATAAGAATTAAATCAGAAGAAATCCATGAGCACTTGTAAGTCAGATAATTCATAAAATAAATTAAACTTTAATTCTTAAAGAAAAGAGATGATGTGGACAGGCAGAGGGGAGCAAAGAATGCAATTTGTGTATAAGAATCATAAATCCATAGCCATGAAGAAAACGGTCAATGAGATCAGACTGGGTGGGATAGAGGGTGGTGCACGTGAAATATTGCTAACCAGGGCTTAGTAAAGAGTACCAGGTGAAACACTTATGAGTATAATAATCCTCTCAACAGTTTGTCCTCAGTTCTAGAGGAAAGACTCTCAAATTTTCCTGCAGTTTGTAAGCTCAGTGAAGGCAAGGATATGTTTTATCACCTTGCCAATATAAATTCCCCACTCAAGAAAACCTAGGAAGCAGTACATGTTTAATAAGTATGTGTTGAAAGAAAGGTAAGGACGTTATAAACTTCTTTTGGTTTAGACTAATGTATTTTCTATTTGTGAGCCATTAAAAAGGAACAAAAAATGAAACCCATTGCCATCGAGTTGATTCCCATTCATAGCCACCCTATAGGACAGATTAGACCTGTCTCATAAGGTTTCCAAGGAGTGCCTGTTGGCTTTGAACTGCCAACCTTTTGAAAGGCTGGCACACAGTAAATATTGAATATGCTGAAGGAAAACACATGTAGAAACGGTGCATAGTAAAGGGATTTGGAAGGTACCAATTGGGAAAGCATTTGTCTTGCAGGATTTTGACATGGGTTTGCTTGCAATATAAAACTATTCCATTAGCATTAGAGTCAGCAACCTTAATAGAATGATATGGAACATTGCAACAGTTATCCATTATCAGATACTCCATTCTATTCCACCCACTCACCAGAAGAATGCCTTTGTATTCACAATCTGGGTGTTGCTAAACATTGTTGCAATATATTCAAAGCCTAAAATTTTCTTTTGCTTAACAGAAGGTTCTAATCACATCCATAAATGTTTTTAAAGAAGGGAATGGAGAAAATAAGACTAAAATATATAATTAATAAACTACATAAAAATGCTATAAATAAAATTATATATTAAACTATTTAAATAAGGTGAATAAATAGAATAAAAAACAACCATATATTGAGTTATCAATAGTGTTTCAATTCAACTGGATTTCTTAAAAGTAAATTGAATTCAGATGTTCTGTTTCTTGTTCTCAAAGTATATATAGCCGTTTGCAATCGGAAATAAAGTAGGGTAAACACTGAACCGCTTCAACAGCACAGAATCATTCTGAAGTAAACACTGACTCCTGTACAAAACGGTCTGTGTTTCCCAGGGCAGGAACTTGTTTGAGGTTGTGTGTTTTGGGTGGTGAAAGGTTGGTTACCTAGCAACAACCCCTCCTCCCAAATCTCTGCGCAACAGTGGTATTGCGCATGTCAGTGAATTGATTACTTGGTTGCTATTTCTAAAGAGAACAATACAATCATGTGGTAGGGTATTAGTCTCAATAAAAAAAAAACTTACCTGCTTTTCTTTGTGTGGGGTCTCCTGCCCACTCTCTTCTGGTTCTGCTAGAAGCTTATCTAAAGAGATTAGGTAAAGAATAATACTCTATTTAGCAATGAAAATGAGGGAAACTTCAGTCATTTTCATTAATAACATTTATTCTCAGTTTGCTTTTAAAGCAAGCAATGAAACAGTTACTACATACACAATAGCATTAGCTCTGGGCAAGAGATAATCTTATCACAATGTATCTTCAAGAAATGAGACTGTTCAGAATAGGGTCGGATTCTGTGAAACAGAGTTTATATAATCCAGGCAGGGCTCAAACATAGCAACGATTGTGAGGATGGTGCAGGACAGGGCAGTGTTTCGTTCTGTTGTTCGTAAGGTCGCTACAGTGGGAACCAACTCAATGGCACATAACAACAACAAGGCAGGTTTTAGATGACAGCATGTTACCATCTGAAGAGAAAATTAATGAATACTAATTTATATAGAACATACTCATAAGGTACTTGTGTTTACAACAAATGAGTTTAACCATATGTTAATAAAAACTTAGCTAGAAAACACGCTTGAGTAAACCTCATAACAGATACTTTGTCTACCTGTGATATGCATCTCAAATGAATGCCACCCTCTCTTTCATCTAATGCATGTTTATTTCTAGGGACAATCCCACCAGTGCATGCATCACTGAAGATGTAGCTAATCTGAATGAACTGGAAAGATAAGGACGCAAACAGCACAATCTGACAATAGAAAAAAAATCAAATAGAGTACATCAGTTTGTGTGTTTTCATAGCATGAAGGTACAAGGGGAAAAAGTCTGTTAGAAGAATGCTAAACTGCCAAGTGTGTGGGGGCAGGTAGAAAGGAGGGGGGAGAGACTTTGGTTTATAAAATTTTCCATGATGCAAAGGACTGAAGCCAAGTTTTCCCCAGATACAGCCCTGACGCCCAGGGTGGCTACTTTCCAATGGACAGGAATCTGTCACTTGTACAGTACTTTCTGAGACTCTCCCATTGGCCCTCCTACCCCGTCTCATCACACACAGAACAGTATTTGCTTGCTGAGCTCCAGAGCAAAGAATTTCTTTGAGGAGCAATAATTGACAGTTGGAGTCACAGCCTGTTTTCTCCTTTGGAAATTTGCTACACATTTGTTTTAAAAAGGCTCACTCTTCAGATTCAAATGAATCAGAATCTGACACTATATTTTTCCCAGTTCCTTGCCCCTAAGGATAGCATCAGTTCAGAAGAAAAAAAATATATTTTTCTTTGAAAATAACCAATAATATTCAGTGTCATTTTAGATTTTTGTCTTGGTCTTGCAACTATTTTGCACGAATCAACTAGAAGTCAGGACTTTTAACCATAAATGTCATTCCAAAAGCTATTTCATTATATGCAAAAATCATAACTGAGAGTGAATCTGAATACAGAAGGAATTATTACCATCTGTTCCTAAGTACTTGAACCGATCAAATATCAGATATTACAGGGAAGAGAGCTGATAGTCCTGAATGGAGTGACAGCATCAGAAAAATATTTATATATATACATATATATATATATATATATATAAAATAAGGGTTTATAGTGGGGATATTGCTATTTTATTTAAAGTGAATCAATGTGCAGTGGATTTTTTTGACATAAGTATAATAGTTCAAAGGAAATTTAAAAAACAGGAACATCTGTTCTTGAATTTTACAATGGGTCATTTGATGCAGAAGTTTTTCCTCTTCTTAAAAACAAAACCCCTTGCTGTCCAGTCGATTCCGACTCATAGTGACTTCTAGAACAGGGTAGAACTGCCCCATAGGGTTTCCAAGGCTGTAATCTTTACTGAAGCAGACTGCCACATCTTTCTCCCGCTGACCAGCTGGTGGGTTCCAACTGCTGACCTCTTGGTTAGCAGCCCAGCGCTTGATCACGGCGCCACCAGCGATTCTTCTCCTCTTCTAACTCCTCCTTTAATCTGTGTAAATCATATTATTCTGATAACTCAGAGACACACGTTTACTCATCTAGAAGATCAAGCAATTTTATATTAGGAACTGACAGGGATCTCTGTGTGCCTCTGGGCGCCCACAGAATAGGAAAGCTAATCTCCAGTAGTCCAACAGTTAAAATAATTGATGAGTGTGTGTTGAATCCTCAGGACAGGAGGGAGGAAGCTAGAAGGAGGGAGAGATGGAAGGTTTGGAGGGAGGAGGGGATGGGGGCAAGGGCTGATTTCAGCCCTGTAGCGTCAGGATTGCGTCAATTCGGGTTTCAGCCACGTCTGGAGTCTGGGAGACGAGCTTCTCAGATGAGCCAAAACACGAACAGGGGTGACAAATCACTGCGCGAGGGCGAGTGGACCTCGTCTTTGCCTCCTCCCTGTTCCAGACGCAGGTCCCCAGGGCTCTGCGCTGCTGTTTTCAGCACTCCGGAAAGCCGGCGTCTTTGGCTCTAGGAAAGTGAACCAAGCTCGGGAGTTTTCCGTTCAGCACCTCGGACAGAGCACGCAGCAAAAATATGGCTCCGATCGCTACCAGCCGGGAAGAATTTGGTAAGCGAGTTCCAAACTCAACTTATAACTGCGGTTGTTCCTTGAATACTCCGTGGTGGGATTTCCCCCCCCCACCACCCGCCATCCACCCCCGCTGTGTGTTGAATATCGATTTCCTAGGTGGTTAATCTGAAAGGAAAATTAGAAGAATAAGCGGACAATCGTGGTTTATCTCTGCTGTTACTTCCTTGGTATTTTTCTCTTTTGAAATTGCCTTCTGCTAGGGAGATTTCACCTCTAAGAAGTTCCTGAATGTTCAGATTCAGGTATCTCTGTAAATTGTAGCAAGCCCTGAAGACAGGAAAAGGGGTGTGTTGTTTGCTTGTTGGATTTATTTATTTTGTAGGGGACTCTTATTTGTAGGTAAATCTGTATTTAACTTAGCAAAGGAAGCCAAATGTATGTGTGGTTACATAAGGGTTTGATCTCTGTATAAAACAACTTGTATATTTGAGGCCTGGAATGTATATTTTATTACAGAATGTACCATAAAGATATATATATATTTTTTGTATCCTTGAGATATGTTGCTAGTGAAAGACACAGAATCCTATGACATTAGAGTTAAAGGGACTTTAGAAATGGTCTAGCCCAGCCCATTTCATTTCACTAGTAAGGTAACCGAAGCCCAGAGAGGTGAGGAGGAGTGTTTCAGGCTACACAGCCAACTAAAAGGTGCTGGAAACTAGAATTAGGTCTTCTATTTTCTAGTTCAGTTTCCCTTTTCCTATATCAGATTTTTGGCACCATACTTCTACTTTTGTTTCAGTAAATAAAATCAGATGCACTTTTTAGAATAAAAAAGTAGTTTTTTAAAGTCCCATTAGGTCCCTAAAGGCAACCGATCAGAGTTTTACTTACTTTACAAGTAGTTAAAAAAAAAAAAAAAAAAAAAGCAAGGAATTTTATAGGAGTTTGCAAATAAGAAGCGGCATCTACAAGTGTAGGATAATTGTTATTAGACTGAGTGAAATGATTGCGATCCTTGCTCTCAAAAGCTGATCAGTGGAGAATACATCGAGAGTAGGTGAGCCTTTCCTTGTTACATTGACTGTTTTGCCATTTGACATAAATATTGTGTAGAGATAATCTGTGCTATTATATTCAGAAATGCGTTTTATTTTGGGGAGGTGTTTGGGTTTATTTTCTTGTGATATGTATTCTAAATTTCTGATTTAGACATGAGCAATTTTCTAATACTGAGGAATTTTAGGGGGACAGTGCTACTTAAATATGTTCTGCCTTGAACCATCAGTCTTTTCAGAAAAACCATTTTCTATTGCTTTGATTGTTCTTCTTGCATTGGCTGAAGAATTGCCTTAGTTCACGACTTTGCTTTTGCTCTCTGGCCTTGGATTATTAGTGAGTCCAGGACTGTTTTTTTTTTTTTTTTCTTTCCCCACAAAGACTTGAATAGAAAGAAAAACTGAAAAGCTGATAACAAGTTTCGCTGATTCTCTTTAGCTCTTGCCTCATTCTTTCTTTGTAGCATTTACTGCTTTTTCTTTATGGAGGAATTCAAAGGTTCATTTTTCATCTCTACATGATTGAGATTCTTGATATCATTATACTACAGAGTTTGTATTTTTGTTATTATTTTATTTGCTTTTTAATCTTCTCAGATACTTCTATTATTTGTCATTTCTTAATTTTACATTCTTTGAATTCAGCTTTGTGATTATGAAGTAGGTGGACAGAAGATTTTGGAGGATGGAGAAAGGGAGTAACAAAAGATTGGTCTTCTTGGGATTATTTAAATAAGGCTTAACCCTTTCCTAACTTGAACTTTTAACTTTATTAGTCACTATGTGGAATAAGAAATGGAAATGGACCTAAATTAAGACAATATTACATTAGTTATATTCACTTTGATTGATGCACTATGTCCACATATAGTAATACAGCTTTTGCCTACCCGGTGTTACTAATCATTTGCTGGAGAAATATGCTTACATATGGAACATAAGCTTCATGGATAATCAGTGTTACCTAATGTCAGTAATTTAATGTGCCCTCATTCAAGGAAAGATGCCAATTTCAATTTGATTACCATTTTCCAAATAGAAATGTGATAGGAAAAAAAAATCAGTTATGGATAAAATTGAATTCTAAGTTATCTATGCTTACTTACTTTTCTCATTACGTGTTAAGGAATGATGATTCACTTATAACCACTCTTCTGTTTTTACCTTATTTAAGTCTAATTCGCACTTTAGATAATTCAGTGCTTGTTTGAGTAAGGAATTTTGGATTGGAATACAATGGGTTTTTAATGTTATAAGTTATATTATATTAGTATCCTGTTGCATGTCTTTTGATGTTTTTTTTCCAATATGTACACATTTCTCCTATCACTGTTTCATAATTGGGATGGAAATGATTAATGAGCTTGTGACAATGGCAGATAATGTTTTATCATTTCTTAAAATTGCATAAACCACTGAGTCTGTAGACGCTTGCTGTTTGAATCCTGGGTAAATAAAGAACTGCTAAGAATACAGAATCTCTTGGTATTTGAAGAATGTGCATTTAGAGTTTCATAGTCAGTAAGAATTGATGCTTCTGAAAAGCATCAGAATATCAATGACATTAGTACTGACCCATTATGCTGTAGTAGTCTCATGTAATCTGAAGAAAAAAAAAAAAGTAGATAGGTCAGGATTGTTAAATCCTCACTCCCAGGTCAGACCCAGGCCCAGTTTTACCTTTTTATTTTACTTGTTAAAAACTACTGAAATGAAGGAATTTCTATCATACTGTATTATTTTTTTTCTGCATGTCACACAGGGGATGTATTTATACCTGAAAATGGTATGAAATGTATACATAACTCATACTTGTAATAGTTAGGAAGTAATTCAGTCTGTCCAACATACAACAATTGCCAGATCTATTACATTTTTCAGATAGGCTCATATCTCCAACTCAGCTCCTTTAATGCATATTATTGGTCATTTGATTTTTCAGATGAAATCCCCACTGTGGTGGGGATCTTCAGTGCATTTGGACTGGTCTTCACAGTCTCTCTGTTTGCATGGATCTGCTGTCAGAGAAAATCATCAAAGTCTAACAAGACTCCTCCATACAAGTTTGTGCATGTCCTTAAGGGGGTTGATATTTACCCTGAAAACCTAAACAGTAAAAAGAAGTTTGGAGCAGATGAAAAAAATGATGTAAAGAATAAACCAGCTGTGCCAAAGAATTCATTGCATCTTGACCTTGAGAAGAGAGATCTCAATGGCAATTTTCCCAAAACAAATCTCAAAGCTGGCAGCTCTTCTGATCTAGAAAATGTGACCCCGAAGCTCTTTCCAGAAGGGGAGAAAGAGGCAGTGTCCCCTGATAGCTTAAAGTCCAGCACTTCACTGTCTTCAGAAGAGAAACAAGAGAAGCTGGGAACCCTCTTCTTCTCCTTAGAGTACAACTTTGAGAAGAAAGCATTTGTGGTAAATATCAAGGAAGCCCGAGGCTTGCCGGCCATGGATGAGCAGTCAATGACCTCCGATCCGTACATCAAAATGACGATCCTCCCGGAGAAGAAGCATAAAGTGAAAACCAGAGTTCTGAGGAAGACCTTGGACCCAGCTTTTGATGAGACCTTTACATTCTATGGGATCCCTTACACCCAGATCCAAGAGTTGGCCCTGCACTTCACAATCTTGAGTTTTGACAGGTTTTCAAGAGATGATATCATTGGGGAAGTCCTTATTCCTCTCTCAGGAATTGAATTATCTGATGGAAAAATGTTAATGAGCAGAGAGATCATCAAGAGAAATGTTAGGGTAATTCATTCTTAGTGCTTAAAGTGTTTATAAACAATCTCTATGTAGCTTTTTTGTATCTTGGGGATTTTCATCAAAATGATTAGTTTGTGACATTGTATCATCTTTACCATGCTTAATGATTATGAATCATAATTAAATGGGAGCAAGGGAATAGAACAATGAAAGAAAATTTAACCCACAACTGAAATGTTCAAAGTGTCTTAATCATATAAAATAGACATCCTTTATGAATACTTAAGTATCATTTATATAATTATTTTTATTAATTTCTATCATAAGTATTTTGGCAGACTAGAGCTTGGAGTAAAATACAAGCAACTATTTCTTATTCATAAGCAATTAAAAAAGATCTTTCAAAGTCAGCAAAATTACATTTGAAACTGAAATTTAAAATTAAATCAATTCTTTCAGAGGATTTGGAACTTTTATTGACTTTTAATAGAATTGCTTTTCAAAGAGGAAGCATCAGATCGCGTTGAACTATAAATGTCTATCTTTACGCTGTGTAACAGGAAGTGAGCTATTATGCCTTCGTAGTTATCCACTTTGGTAGCTCTGGGAATACTGGAAAACAATGAGACATCAATTCAGTAAATCTATTCTATTTTTATTTTAAACACAGGACTCAGTTGATTCCAATCTTGATATTTAAGAGTAACTTGTGTCTATAGTGGCATGATTGTACAGAATACCTTAAACAGACTAATTTATGCTTTTAAAAAATCATATTTTAGGGCTGTTTTTGAAAATCTCCTCACCTTTTGTCTTTTTGTTGAAGTTAATAAAAGACAAACCCTAGAGACTTATTTGTATCCCACAGACTTGTAGCTTGTTTGAGATACCTGGATGTTTAATGGCACAGTGGGCATAAAGATATATCCCCTTCTTCCTCTTCTCCTTGGAGGGCTTATTCATGCCAACCTTTGTCTGAATATCTATTGCAGTTCTAGGAGCCCTGGCCCAACCATCATTCTTAGTTATAACCACACACCCAAACGTATATTTTGTTACTTCCAGATGAAACTTCTACTTTGAGATCTTAGTCATCTTTCATAGTATCTTTAAAGTGAAAACAAAACAAAACAAACAAAAAAAAAAAACACAAGTATATCTATGTAGCATGAAAAGAAGAGTCCTATGACATTGTCCAAAGACAGAGTTGAAAGTTCTGAGGCAGTTCTCTCCAATGCTTAATTCATTCCTTGAATTAAATGGGGCCTATGGAGGAAGGTAGAGAATTTTAACTCCATCAGCTCTCTGACCCAGAGCAGTGTTAAGATCAAGATAAGTCTCAGTTGGTCTGAATCCCAGTTTCAATAAAGTTAATGCTAAAGAATTTTAAATCAAATCAAACAATGTAAGGATGAGTAACTTTTCTCTACACAGACCCATTCAAATGATTAAATAATTTTATTATTACTAACAAATGCAAGTAGTAGAGCTGTAACTAAAATGCAAAAGCCGCAAATACCCCAGTGTAGGCTGTACTTTAAATATCCTTTTAAACATTTCTAGTAATGGGTGTGCCTAACATTGCACGTTGTAACATTCTGTAGTACCAAAAAAGACCACAAGATGGCAGGCAATTGTCCTTAGGAGGTGAGAGTGCTGCACGAAAACTTTGTTACTCTTAGATTCTTCAGCATATTAAAATAAAAATCAGCAGGAACATTTCATTTAGATGTCCGACAATGTTATTATATTGCTTTAAATATTTTTAGAATTCTAAATTACAAAAGAAAAAGAGAAGGACAACATTTATAACGCATCTCTTCATTTGTTTAGAAGTCTTCAGGACGGGGTGAGCTATTGATCTCTCTCTGTTACCAGTCCACCACAAATACTCTCACTGTGGTTGTTTTAAAAGCTCGACACCTGCCTAAATCTGATGTGTCTGGACTTTCAGGTAAGAATGCTTCTGAAAAACTTCAGGCTCAGTGTATAACGGGGGAACACTTTGAGCCAAATAGTTAACAATTAAGATTGGTCTATGCTATTGATTTACCTTTTATTCACAATCACAGGTGATGTAATTTTTTTTCTGTTTATAATTTGATGGAATGCTAATCTGAGTTGATGTCATTAGCGAGAAGAAAAAAATCTATATAGTTCTCAGATCTAAGTCAAAGCTAGACATCAGGTAGAAGCTGATTGAATGGGGTTGGAGCAATGAGCGGTGATGAATGCAGAAGCAAGAGGTCAATGCCAAAAGCACAGTGAGGGAAATAAAATTCAGACTCAGGAGAAGGGTTTTCTTATTTTACTATTTTAACTAAGCCTCCCTGCCCTTACTCTTCTGTTGATTTTTTATATCATATCTTTAATTCTTTATGCGTCTGCTTTAATTAAGAATTAAAACTAGCTATTCATTTCGTAACTAGTTTTACAAAGAAAATCCGTATTGTATTGCAAGATGAGAAAGAGAATGAACTGAATAGAAGTGATCTGCATTCAAATCCTAACCCTTCCATCTCTTAGCTAAGCAACCTTCAGTATATTTCTTAAATTCTGTGAAAATTGGATATATTCATACTTACCTTGAGGGGCATTATATGAATTAGAAAATTATTCTTCATTAAATATCATTTCATGATTTATTAGTGGTAAAAATGGTTAATCACTTGGTTAGTAAGGGACGGTTTATGGTTTGAATACATCCAGAGGAACATCAGAAGAAAGACCTGGTGATCTGCTTCCAAAAGGTCACAACCACGAAAACCCTGTATAGTTCTATTCTGCAACACACAAGGTGGTCACGCATTGGAATTGACTTGCTGGCAACCGGTACTAGTACTAGTGATGTATTATTATTATTATTTGATCAGGGAAGTGGAAAATATAGTTTTATAGGTCTCCATTAGGAGGCTAAAATTAGCTCATATAACATAACCAGAAGAAATAGCCAAAAGAATATTATTAAATGTATGATCAAGTACTACGATCCTAAAATTCACACAAAGTTCTTGGAAGGGTAACACAGGGAAAATTGACACCTAGAAATAGGAGGCAATCCCAGCAGGTGATTAAAGAACCACGTTAACAGGAAAGCCAAGAAAGGCATTGGCATTGTGGAGACCAAATCCCTGTTCAACAGAAGAAAGCAGCTGAAGCCCAAAGAGGTGGAAAGATTGACCCAAAATCATAGTGACAGATGTCGTCTACTGTTTTTCCTCCGAACCCATTCTCCATAATGAGTTATTAGTAATCAGAATGAGTCCATAGAACACCTTTTCTATTTTTTATGCCCTTTTATGCTATCTTTTCTCACTACCATTACAGTTCCTTCCCGACCTTCTGGTTTAGAGTTTTCTCTTATGTTGCATTTGCTTGCATATTTACAGTTTGTTGATGATAGAAAATCCAGGCTTTGTCCATGTTTGCACTCTGTCTCATTTTCATTGCGATCACATTTCATTGCCATGCAATGATTTCTAAAGGCTCTGAAACTTGAGGTGAGCTCTTCAGCCAAGTCCTGCCAGTATAATGCCTGTTATTTGCCATTGCAGATCCCTACGTAAAGGTCAACCTGTACTATGCCAAAAAGAGGATCTCCAAAAAGAAGACTCATGTGAAGAAATGCACTCCCAATGCAGTATTCAATGAACTGTTTGTCTTTGATATTCCTTGTGAGGGTCTTGAAGAGATAAGTGTGGAATTTCTGGTTTTGGATTCCGAGAGGGGATCCCGGAATGAGGTGATTGGGCGGTTGGTCCTGGGAGCAGCAGCAGAAGGAAGCGGTGGTGAGCACTGGAAGGAGATCTGTGACTTCCCCAGGAGACAAATTGCCAAGTGGCATATGCTCTGTGATGGTTAGCCTCCTAGCCATGAGCTAGAACTACTTGATTTTTACTAGGCAAGGAGCAATTCTCTTTCTTTGTGATATGTAATTTTTTTTGTTAGAAATGGATTGAATTAGTAGACCAGAAAGTAACTGTAAACGTGTATCATGATAATTCCCCCCTTTATTCAGAGAAATTGGAAAATTTTCATAAGATATTCAGTTTCCCTTGAAGGCTACCAGTGATATAAAAAAGAGTAGTCAGGTGTTTTATGAGTATTAAACCGTGATTCCAAGTTATGGGTGTGGTTTAGAAGGTGTTGACCTTATTGGAACACATCACTGGAAGATAATGTGATTGTTCTGATTTAGAAATGAAAAGTATGTCTTTTCTTATGAAAATTCATCTGTGTTTCTTTAGCTTGGGGAAATCAATTTTTCTTTAAATCCAAAGATATTGAAGAAATGTGCTCTAGTTTGTTTTTTACTGATTATGTCATGTGCAAATGGTTGTCCTGCATATAAAAGTATGTGGCCATTTCTCTTTGGTTTGTAATAATTTGATACAATTTTATCATAAAGGGAATAACTTAGGTTTGTTTGAAAAGGGCAGTGAATAAGCTGAGAAGTCATTACAGCAAAGGGCTGAGTTGAGAACACTGTGGTTGACATATGATTTTTCTCCCCACATAAGGTTACATGTGAGTCAAAATGTTGTAAAATATAACCTCACATAAGAACCATAATCTTGAATTATTCACTGCCTGTCACAAGCCTCAGTGTGACCTAAGAAACCCCTATTTACCTTTGTGAAGTTGTCAACTTAGCTAATGGATAAAGGAAAAAAAAAAAAAAAAACTTCAGCTAGACATCCAGTTTTCTTGTAGGAAATATGTACAGTGTGCCAGTGTTCTTTCAAAGTCATCTTTTGTACCCAGAGATGGCATTGCTAACTAAGTTTCCATTTAGCTTGCCTCCTCCCCACACATGACCAAGCTATTATTTGAAGAGAAGAGAAGAAATAAATCAACAAACAAAACTGTAAAGTTTTATCCATTGTCAGGTAGAAAGTGCTACTTAAAATCAACAGACTAAGTCATATAACCAAAAAATAGTTAAACAGCAAGCCTAATATAATTTGCATATGTTCACACAAAATATATTTAAGCTGTCAAATTAGCACAACGGATATGTGTTTCACTATCTTTTCTAAGCTAATTTGTCTTCAGCTGAGCTGTTGTCTGTGGAACAGTTTATAGACTTGGGTCTTGTACCGTTTTCCAGTGCCAGGGCTCGGAAATTCATTAAAAACTTGTTAGAGTAAAGCAGTGCCCTTGTGATTATTTGGAAACAATTAACTGGAGGGTATCTTCATGATAACTGAGTTTTTAGAGAAGTAAGAGTAAACTCGGGTACAGTTGAATTATTAAATATGCAAGTTAGAAATAAAGTCTACCGAAAAACTTACATTTTGGGTCTTTCAGGTTTTGTGTTAGTACTTTAGCAGTTTTTGAGAACGTGTTTGATATCACAGTGTTCGTAAAATTCTATGAAAATGCATTTTCGAAACAACTTCTACATGCTTTTTATGACTATGCTAATGTAAAGAAAATGTATTACATTCTGTATGTACAAATATTGAAAATCAGTCTCTTCTTTTTTGTGCTTTAAACTGACTTTGGGATAAAAAAGAATATTCCCCAATCATTGTTTTCACCCCACCACAAAACCATCTCAGACCATCTCGGTCCACTCAACATTTCTGTGAAAGCAACATGAAATGGGTTGTCAGTCTGTGGTTTGGGAAAGTCAAAAGGCCTTTTTGGTTATGTATGCTTTGGTATTAGGGGCCAGGAAATACACTTTATTTTGAAGTTCTGCAAGATTGTAAGTGAGGGGTCAATTCTACGTATACTTCCCAGCAGCCAGAAGTTAATGGTGTTACCAGTTTAAGAATAGTTGTAGGAGGAGGGAGTTATTATTATTTTTTTAAGTAGAGCAACAAAACCAACAACAACAGGTACGTTAAAACTGCAGTGGGTTAGTTGTAAATAGTTTTTATTTAAGTTCTTAAATTTTAAAGTGTTTTTGCGTGTAAAAAACTGAGTAAAACAATTTGCAACTGGTTTTAAGAAACGAAAGAAGAAAAACAAGAAAGGAATTGAAGCAGGCAGGGACATATGTGATCCCATCATCTTCTGAAAATTTTACTGTTTTATAATGTATTACAATATCAATGTGAATATCTTGAATTCTGTTACAAATCCTGCACTGTATGAAACGTGTAGATTAATTGTCTGTCTGATTAGCCAATCTAATCACCCTAATGGGGAGGTATCCATGTTTAAAGAACTGTGTAACTCAGTAACTGACTTGTTCTGATGTCGTAACTCAATAGAAGTGATTTGGAAGGAAGCATGGTGTATGAGGTGGTGTCTGTTCTTTTGTGTCAGCTCTGTATTATGTTTGTAAGACCACGTTTGTAAGACATGAATAAATTGCTGCTTTTGCCCATGCCATTTCAATTCAAACTTTCTGCCAACGGACTCTTTACTAAGGCTTCTCCTGTTGCTGTCTGAACTCTCAAGTTTCTGTAATGGATCCCCTGAAATAGATTAGGGAACATTAGTGACTGAGCACCTAGGTCTCCCATATACTTTCTTTTATATTGTTTAATCCTCACAACAAGCTTCTGGGTCAGATATCATTATCCCCATTATTTAAAAAAAAAAAAAAATGCTGTCCAGTGGATTCCGACTCATACAGACCCTGTAGGACAAAGTAGAACTGCCCATAGGGTTTCCAAGGCTGTAATTGTTATGGGAACAGACTCCCACATCTTTCTCCTGCAGAATGGCTGGGTTTAAACTCCTGACCTTTGGGTTGGCAGCCAAGCACTTAACCACTGTGCAACCAAGGCTCCTTTATCCCCATTACAGAGACACAAAACCAGAGACTCAAAGAGCTTAAGCCATTGGCTCAAGTAGACAGGGAGATAATTAAAAAGATTTCATGGCATATCCCACTCTTCTCTCCATACCATACCACTCTTTCCAAGGGTCCTTATCTTTTGTCTCTACTGGAGTCTTAAAGAGGCATAAGGCCACTTTCTTTGCCTTCTCCTTTCTATATTTTATTCATGTTTCTATTATTTATTTACTGTTTTCACTGTTTTTTAGTTACCATTCTCTATTTACTCTTTTAACTTTTATAATCTTATTTCTCATTTTTAATCACTTTCACTTCTTCTTTTACATTAGTCTCTTTGTTTATTTATTTACTTATTTATTTTTTATTCTACATCCTTGCACTGGATGGATATAGTTAGGAAAATAGATGTGAGAATGAAAATCTTATTTCTTCTTAAACAGGGAAAAAATTGAAAAAAGCAAGACATTTGCAATCTTCCCATCAGGTAGCAGCTAAAGTAAATGAGAAAGATGGGACCTACCATCTGGAGGACCAGCCTTTTTTTATAGCAGCAGGCTGTATGGAGGTATTCCGTGTCCATCAAACTTGGAAAAATAGTCTCATAAATGGAATGCAACTAGGAGTTTCTGCCATTATATTTTGATGCAAATTATATTAATTAAGAGCACACACAGGCATGCTAAAAGAGTTGGTTTATCATCATATTTAAGAGCTCAAATATAGTTTAAGGATGGTCCCCGGGTAGCACAAACGGTTAAACATTTGGCTGCTAAAAGAAAGACTGGAGGTACACATCCACTCAGAGCCTCCTTAGAAGAAAAGCCTGGTGATCTACTCCTGAAAAGTTAGCCATTGAAAACCCTACGGAGCACCATTCAACTCTGACACACGTGGGGTCGTCATGAGTCAGCATCGACTCGAAAGCAACTGGTTTGTTGGTTGATACCTGCCAAAACAAGCAGAGACATTGAGAAAATTTTCCAAAGGCGTTAGTCAACAGAGAAATGCTAGTGAAAACTGAAATGAAATACTACTACGCACATATCAGATTGACCAACATGAAAATGCCAAGTGTTGGTGAGGATGTGGTGGAACTGGACCTCTCCTACTGCTGAAGGGAATGTAAAATGTACAACTCCTTTGAAAAACATGTTGTCCACTTGTTAAAAAGTTAAACAAACACTTATCGTATGACCCAGTCATTCCCTTTTGAGGGATTTACCAAAGAAATACAGCATACGTTTTCCAAAGACATGTACAGAAATATTTATAACAATTTTATCTGTAATAACTAAAAACTGGAATCAACCCAAATGTTCATCAACAGGTAAATGGATAAACAGATTTTGGTACATTAACACAATGCAAAACTACTGGAATAAAAAGGAATGGAGTATTGATACAGTTAAAAACATACATGAATCTCAAAATAATTATGCTGAGTGAAAGAAACTAGGAACCCTCCCCAAAGAGACTATATATCCTAGAATTCCATCTATAGAAAATTTTACAAAATGCAAGCTAATCTACTATGATAAAAAGCAGATTAGTGTTTGACTGGGGATGGAAAAGGGTGTATGAAGAGACGTTAAACCATGATTTGACCTCGTAATCTATCTCAACAAGCTGTTCCAGGTAGTTACGACCATTGGATTATTGTTGGTATTCAAGGTGACACTGGGTTATCTTCTCTGCACCAAACTCTAGAACATGTTCAGAGAACTAAACAGTAATTCTTAAAGCTTTTAGAAGACAGAACACACATATTCAGTTCCTAGTTCTACCACTTACTTCTTATGTGATTTTTTGCTACAAAAAAAAACACACAAAATAAAACTAGGGAATTAGTTCAACCAATATTTTCCAGTATTTTTAGTATTTTCTGTATGTCCGACATTATCATGGGAATTAAGGTGAAAGAAGCAAAACACTGGATATCATGCCAGCTTCAAAGCAGGGTAATATGAGTTCTTGTGGCACTGTGGTTAAGTGCTCAGGCTCCTAACCAAAAGATCGACAGTTAGAATCCACTAGCTGCTCCTTGGAAACTCTACGGGGCAGCTGTCCTCTGTCCTGTAGGGTCGCCAAGAGTTAGAATCAACTTGAATGCAATGGGTTTAGCGTGATACTGTACACAAAGCAGGGACTCTGAATTCAGGGTCCCTGGGCTCCAT